CCGCAGGCTAAGGGAACTATGGGAATTAGAGGGTAGACGGGGCGGGAGGGCCTGAGAAGAGAGCTGAAGGGCAGGGAAGGGGCTGCCCACAAACAGTCTGAGAAACCAAAGTGGGGCTGCTGGGTGGCCTCCAGCTGTCTCTGGGTACCCAGTGGGGCAGCAGTGGGGAGACGCAGGGGCAGATGGAGGGAGACCCAGCCACGGAGGGCTCTGGGCTCATGCACATAACCGATGACGACCACACCTGGCAGGTCCCCTAGTGGCCGCTGTCCTGAGCTCCTTCCCAAGGGGTGTCAGCGCAGACAAGACAGCTCAGGGTGGGGGCGAAAGCCAGGCCTCTGGCACGGACTTCTGAGCAGCCCCGCTCCCTGCTTAGAGAGGAGCCCATGGCATCAACCACAGCCCGAGGCCAAACCTGGACCTGGACAGCAGGAGGCCATGAAATTGCCTCTCTCACTGGGGTGACCCCAGGACGCCGCCTGTCCTCATCACCCTCCCTGCTGGAGCCGGGCCCCAGCTGGAGCCGGCCTCGCCCACTGCCACAGCAACCGCCACGTGGACACAGCCCCCAGCACGGACGGCAGCCTGTGTGGCCTGGGGGCGACTGCTCAGCTGGCAGCTGCGGCCAGCCCACCCGAGGGACAGGGCGCATGGCGGGGAGGGCGCTGGCCCAGCTCCACAGCCACTGCGCTCCTGGGCACACTCACCCAAAGCACTCCTTTTTCAGTATAATTACAAGATTTTTCAAACACACACACATGTGAAAAATCACAGCATCAATGCCTGGGTACCACTGTCCAGTGTCATCAGAGATTCCCGTATTTGCTTCGCTCTTTTCTTGTTTTACGAAATAAACATTTTAGATACAAATAAAACCCTCAGGTCATTCCTCGCCCTGTCCCCAGAGGAAACCACAACCCTGAACTTCATTGCTCACTCCCATGCAGTTCTCATAGTCCTGCGGCCTACCGTGGGCATCTTTAAACATGCTCTTATTTTATTTATTACCTTCAGGTTTTTGTCATAGGGCCCACGAGCTCACCAGAGAGAAAGAGAGGGAAAATGAGAAATCACCCCCCAGAGCGGATGGCCACACTGCAGTCCCTTCTCTTCCATTCTCCTCTTGTATTTTGGGCACGTACTCACACGTACCTGGAGTGATTTTCAAGTCGCCGGGTCCAGGACTCAAACTGCAGTCTGTGGGAGTCCAGTGCCTTAACAACTATGCCGCTTGCTAGCCCCTTTAAATAAGTGTTTAAATGTTAGCTAAGATGTCCATGCCCATATTTGTGATATATGGGATTGCTACATATTAGTCAAAACTCACCTTTTTTGCTTAATATATTTTTTTAACTGCCAGAGGGTGTATGTGCTCCCCAGAAAATGAGCGAGAGAGAGACAGGGAGAAAGCCCAGGGACGCCACATCCCCACCTTCTGTTTTTCCACCCTGTTAGGATTTGGAGAATGCATGCTCATATACCTGGGGTGCTTTTCAAGCCGCTGGGGATGGGATTCAAACTGTGGTTAACCCTGTGGTTTCTGGCTCCCTTACTCACTAGGCTACAGGGCCAGTCCAGCTTAACACTAGTTTTTCTTTGTTTTTTAAATTTGTTTGAGGTCTCAGGAGCTCACTGGAGAGAGAGGAGAGAAGGAGAGAAAGCAGTCCCTTTGGGGGACAGTCGCGCTACCATCTCTGCTCCGTTTCTCCTCTGGGATTTTGGGCATGCACACACATGTGCCTGGCATGTTTCTCATGGGTCTGGGACTCGAACCACGCAGCTGGCCTTGTGGGATCCAGCCACCTTAACCACAATACCACCACCAGGCACAACAGTATTGTTTTTTTCAAGGATATAACCAGATGCATCTTTTCCTTTCTCTCTCTCTTTCTTTCTCTTTTTAAACACTTATTTACTTATTTATTGGTTGAGTTTTTCAAGTCACCAAGTCTAAGTCTCGAACCGTCGTGGGCTATGTGGGAATCCAGCACCCTAACCCCCGCACCAGCTGCTGGCCCCAGCCATATGTATCGTGTTCAACAGAGAACATTACATTCTTGCCAACGCTAATTTTAAAGACATTTGCTTATGCTAATACACGTCCATCCTCCCCTCCCTCGCTCACTTGTGTAAGGCCCTGCGGCCCTGTCAGGCTCACCCAGACCATCCCGGGAGGACCCCAACCCAGAATCTTTAACTTAACGACATCTATCAAATGCCTTTTGCTATGTAAGGTAACGTTCCCAGATTCTGGGATCAAGAGGTGGACATCTTTGGGGTCATTCTCCAATTTACCACAGGTGGTGTTACCTCCAGGCCTCTCCTCTGTGAAGGTAACTCCGTCTCCCAGTATAACTAATCACTATTTGATGAAGTACTTTGAAACTACACAAGCGTCTCATTTCTCAAACTTGTCTTTCCCCTCCTTCTCTGTAGGGTACATGTGCTTGCTGGGGAAAGTGAGAAAGTACCTCTCTGGGGGACCACATTTACAATCGCTTCTTTTTTATTTTTTCCATCCTGTTGGGATTCCAGGAGCACAAATGCACACACGTACCCAGCGTGTTTTTCAAGACTGCAGGTCACGGATTCCATCTGCATTGTTGGCTGTCTGAGAGTCAGCTGTCTTAACCACCAGGCCACCTGGCCAGCCCTCATCAAACCTTTTATTTCTTAATTTCACTCCAGATGCATGCACTCACCAGAGAAAGAGAGAGGGACATTGCCCCATGGGGCATGGTCACAATTCTTCATTTCTCCCTCCTGTTGGGATACTGGGCATGCATGCATGCGCATGCACCTGCCAGGTCTGAGACTTGAACTACGTAGTCAGCCATGTGGGATCCAGCTGCTGCAACCCCATGCCCCTAGGTGGCTCCGCTCATCAAACTTTCAGTCATGTATGTATTCGCTTCAGTATAGGCTCCTAAGTTGATTGTATTTGATGTGTTATGATTTATATATCTATTTTAATGCCCAACTTATCCCCGATTTGACCAGGCGAGTCCCTTGAAAGTAGCTTCTGTGTCCCTTCGACGTGCTCCCTGCATTCTCAGAGCACTCCCCCTATCTCCTGGCACAAGTGCAGGCTATTTTTTTCTCCCATGGTAGAGTGTGTGGACATATGAGACAGAGGAGCAACCTCTGGGGCATAGTCATAAGGCGACCCCCTTCCTCCAGTCCTTCAGCTCGTCAGATCCTGGGCACTTGTGCACCTGTCTGGCGCAGTTCAGGTAGACCCGGCTGGGGGATTCGAACCATGGTCGCCATGTGGTATCCTGTGTCTCTTGGACAGTGTATTAATGCCGCGCCTCATTTGAATATACCATCCATTCAAATGGCCCTCAGCTATTTGAATGGATGGTATATTCTCTCTTCCTACCTCCGCTGCTCTCGTGTCACAGTTCTGCAGTCCAGTCCAGTTTTTCTGGTACTTTCTAGCTCCCATCCCATGGTATATTCGGGAAAACCCACATCTGGCAAAGCCAGCACCACAGACATGAGATCAGCACTGGGCTTTTCCCTCCCCACCTCCTTTTAAGAATTTGGGGCCAGCAGGTGGCATGGTGGTTAAGGTGCTGGACACTCAGACATGGCTGACTGTGGTTCAAGTCTTGGACCTGGTAGCTTGCTTTCTCACTTTCTCTCTTTCTGTCTCTCTGTCAAATTAAAAATAAAATCAATGAATGAAATTTCATAAATAATTTTTTAAAAGACATCTTAAAAAAATTGGGGTTCCCAAGCTCCCAGCTTCCAGCCAGGAATCTTTTAGTCCCTTAACCCCAAAGGACTGGCCACCTCCTGCCTTTGGCCTCCAAAGCCCAGTGGGGCCCCGGGCATCAGCCTCCAACCTCTTTGCATATCTTTTCTGGGTTTGGTTCAAGGAGATGATATTCTTCAGCCTGCCGCTGTCTTTTTGATTTACTTTTTATAATCTCACCTATTACTGCTGCAGTTTGGAGAAAAAAGGATGCAATCAAACCGAAATTCTCCAAGCCATCCCAAAGGGGACGTTAGCTCCATTTCAACCATTTTTAAAAATAAAAGATCTTATGTCAACATGTTGGATTAGAGCAAAAAACACCGAGGAAGACACAGGAAAGTAAGACAGAGTCATGGGGAGGAGACAAAAAGCATTTAGGGAGGTGGTCCACCCCCCAGACCCTGCCCTTCCCACCGTGTTCCTCCAGGTGTTCAATCTGTCCGTGGGCCCCAGTCTGGGTGACATGGGGGACGGGAGTGAGGAGGCAGGACGTGCAGGGTTGCAGGAGGCCCCTCTAGATCTGGGATGGAGGTGCCAGCCAGGTTCAGGGCCAGGGGTGAGGCCTCCTACTCCTGAAGAGAATGGCATTCATTTCAAAGCTTTGAGGCCCCTCTGGCTGGGGTGGGTGGGTGGGGGACTGCTGACTCTAAGTAAGGCCCTGGGGAGGCTGCACCAGCCTCTGCAGGATCCTCTCGCGTTAAGCCCATTCCTTTCCCCACACTGAGCTACTTTGCGCTTCTTCGCTCAGGGTTCTCACACTGTCCCTGAGCGCCTGGCGGGGGCTGTCTGCACTGTCCGCGCGCAGCGCCCAAGCTGTACCCCCTGGCTCACACCCACCATGTCCTTTTAGCCAAGATCATTTTCCCACAGGCCGCCCAAGCCCTGAGTGCAGGGTGAGAGCAGGCAGCGCCCAGGGTGTGCCCCGCGGAAGCGCACCCGCTTCCTGCAGCAGTCCCCGGGTTCTGCACAAGAGGCTGCCACCCTCCACCCTCCGGGCCTCAGTCTCCCCAGCTGTAGTAAGGGTGCAGCCGTCTGCCGGCCTCTCCTCAAAGTCTGCTGGGAGGCCCGAGGGGGTCAGGTACCGAGACCTGCCACCCAGGACCGACCCTCGGTGCAGACAGGCAGGCCCCGCCCCTGCCCCAGGGGGCGGGGCTCACAGCTGCGGCCCACGCGGCTCCGAGGGGATCTGCGGCGGGTCCTAGTGCCCGCCGTCTCCG